CCTACTAACTACTACCTACTACTACTACTACTACTACGACGACCACCACCACCACCACCACCACCACTACTACTACTACTTCTACTACCACTACCACCACTACTACTACTACTACTACTCCTACTACTCCGACTGCTACTACTACTACTACTGCTGCTACTACTACTGCTACTGCTACTGCTACTGCTACTGCTACTGCTACTGCTACTGCTACTACTGCTACTACTACTACTACTACTACGACGACGACGACGACGACTACGAGTACGAATACGACTTCTACTACTACGACGACGACTACGACTACGACTACAGCTACAACAACACCAACCACAACAAGAACAACAGCAAGAACAGCAGCAACAACAACAACAACCACAACAACAACGACAACAACAACAATAACAACGACAACAACAACGACGACCACAACAACAACAACAACAACAACAACAACAACAACAACAACAACAACAACAATAACGACGACGACGACCACAACAACAACAACAACAACTACTACTACTACTACTTCTACTACTATTACTACTACTACTACTCCTACTACTCCTACTACTCCGACTGCTACTATTACTACTACTGCTACTGCTACTACTACTACTACTACTCCTACTCCTACTACTACTCCTACTCCTACTCCTACTCCTACTCCCACTCCCACTCCTACTCCTACTCCTACTCCTACTCCTACTCCTACTACTACTACTACTACTACTCCTACTGCTACTGCTGCTGCTGCTACTACTATCGCTACTATTACTATCGCTACTACTACTACTATCGCTACTACTACTATCGCTTCTACTACTATCGCTACTACTACTGCTACTACTACTACTACTCACCACCACCACCACCACCACCACTACCACTACCTCTACCGCTACCGCTAGCGCTACCGCTACCGCTACTGCTACCACTACCACTCCCACTTCCACTCCCACCCCCACTCCCACCACCACAACGAAGACGACGACGACGATGACAAGAACGACGATGACAACAACGATGATGACAACAACGACGACGACGACAACGACGACGGCTACGACTACGACTACGACTACGACTATATACGAGTATTACTACTATAGATCTACCACGAATACCGTTACCACGACCACTACGACGACTAGTAGCCATGCGTCGTTGTCGTTGTCGTCGTCATTGTTGTCGTTGCTGTTGTTAGTGCTGTTGTTGTTGTTGTTCTTGCTGTTGTTGTTGATGATGATGATGATGATGATGATGTTGATGTTGATGTTGATGTTGATGGTCTGGTTGGGCCTATGTTGGTTCGATGTTGGCCCTATGTTGGCCTATGTGGGCTGCCAATTTTCCACTTGGGTTCGCCCCGGAAAACGGACCCCACCAAGTGTCAAGTTTCCTTTGGGAAACTCAGGAAAAAGCTCTTTTTCAGGGGACTTGGTGGGGTCCGTTTTCCGGGGCCAAGCAAAGTGGCAAATTGCCAATGTGGGCCCCATCTTGGCCCATGTTGGCCCTGTCGTGGCCCTATCTTGGCCCTATGTGGGCCCCATCTTGGCCCCGTCTTGGCCCTATGTTGGCCCTATGTTGGCCTATGTTGGCCCATCTTGGGGCCTATGTCGGGGCCATGTTGGCGATATCCGCGGCCATCTACGTTGAAAGACTTCCAAGATGCCAATTTTTCCGTCCCGGACCCCTCCGTGGAAGCCAAAACCACACAAAAAAAACACGGTTTTTTGCTTTCGCCAAGAAAAAAATGGGATCGGCCGAGGCCACGAAACACCGTAAATAGCGGTGTTTTTGTCACCTCACGCACGATCCACCGTAAATTACAGTGGCGTTGGCAGGTCGGTGGTTGGTCCGAGGTGGGTCGGCGGCAGGGGCGGCCAGCGTATATCGGCAGGCCCTGTCGATGGGCAAAGCCCCCGGCCGAAGGCCGCTAGCTTTAGCTATAGGGCTGCCCGCCCCTACCGCCGACCTATGCTCCGCCACCGAAAAACCTCGTAATTCACCCTGCTTCGCGTGGGGTGGCCGTCCACACCGCAGGTTTATTTCGGTCCGTGAGAGGGGCTAAGGGTGGTTTTCCCCCGTGGGGGCTCCCCAAGCTAAGAATTTTCACTTTCC